TTAGGTCTATAGTTCATGTTGAATTAATTTTTGTATGAGATACAAGGTAAAGTTCAAGGATTCTTTTTCCATACAGCTTTCAGTTATTCCTGCACTGCTTATTAATAAGATTATATTGATTGTCTCCATTGAGCTACTTTGACACCTTTGTCAAAGGTCAGTTGACCACATAAAGATGGGTCTATTTCCGTGCTGTCTATTCTGTTACATTGATCTAGATGTCTATCCTTATGCCAATAATACACTGCCTTGATTATTGTAACTTTATGGTAAGTCCTGAGATCAGGTAACTTAAGTCCTCCAACTTTGTTTTTCTTTATCAAAATTAGTTTATCTAGTTCAGATTGTTTGCCTTTCCACATAAAGTTTAAAATCAGCTAATCAGTTTCATTACAAAAGCTTATTGGAATTTTGTTTGGGTTTATGTTGATTTTATAGATTGATTTGCTGTCTGAACACTAAAAAGTTTTCTAATCTATGAATATGATATGGTTTCTCCATTTATTTTGGTCTTAAAATCAGTTTGCTTTCCCAATTTCTGCAGAAAAGGTGGCTGGAATTTTTATAAGGATTGCGATCACTTTGGGGAGTATTGTTTTAATCCGTGAACACAGGATAGCTTTCCATTTATTTAGATCTTTTTTAATTTCTTTCAATAATGTTTTACATTTTCATTGTATAAATCGTATACTTCTTTTGTTCAATCTGTTCATAAGTGTTTTATTCATTTCGATGCTATTATAAATGGAATTGTTTCCTTAATTTTGTTTTCAGGGTATTGATTGCTAGTGTGTAGAAATAGAATTGGTTTTTGTATATTCATCTTCTATCCTAAATCCTCGCTGAATTCATTTATTTGTGCTAATTTTTTTAGTTGATTCCTTAGAATTTTCTCAGGAAAGTTCAGATCATGCCATCTGCAAATAGAGATAATTTTAATTCTTCCTTTCTAATCTCAATCCCTTTAATTCTTTTTCTTCCCTAATTGGCCTGGCTAAAACCCTTAACACAGTATTGAATAGACATGGCAAGAATGTCTGACATCTCTGTCTTTTTCCTGATCTTAGGAGGAAAGCATTCAGTATTTCATCATTAAATTTGATGTAGATGGTCTTACCCATTTCTGGAAGTTTCTTTCTTCTCCTAGTTTCTTGAGTGTTTTTAACATGAAAGAGTATTGGATTTTATCAGATGCTTTTTCTGTGTCTATTAAAACGATCTTGTGGTTTTGTCCTTTGTTTTATTAATATGATCTATTTGATTTCTATATGTTAAGCCAAGCTTGCATTTTTAGAAGAAATCCTCCTTGGTATAAAATCATTTTTGCATTTTGCTGGATTCAGTTTGCTAGTATTTTTCAGAGATTTGTGTGTCTGTATTCATAAGGGAAATTGTTCTACAGTTTTATTTTCTTTTGATATCTTGGAATGAAAAGAATACTGGTTGGTATCAGAGTGTACTTACTGACTGGGTATGTTTTTGCTTCATAGAATGAGTTGGGTAATGTTCTCTCTTTTATTGTTTGGAAAAGTTTGTGAAAGATTGGTGTTAATTTTTTAAATGTTTGGTAGAATTCTTTAATGATGCCATGTGGCCCTGGGCTTTTGTTTGTTGGAAGTTTTAAAATTATTAATTGTTTTAGTCTGTTTTGTGCTGCTATGACAGAATACCTGAGACTGGGTAATACATAAAGAACAGATACTTATTTTTGAAGGCTGAGAAGTCCAAAATCAAGGCACTGGCATCTGGTGTCTGGTGAAGGCTTTCTTTTTTTTTTTTTCGAGACAGAGTCTCACTCTGTTGCCCAGGCTAGAGTGCCGTGGCTTCAGCCTAGCTCACAGCAACCTCAAACTCCTGGGCTCAAGCGATCCTACTGCCTCAGCCTCCCGAGTAGCTGGGACTACAGGCATGCGCCACCATGCCCGGCTAATTTTTTGTATGTGCATTTTTAGATATTCAGCTAATTTCTTTCTATTTTTTAGTAGAGACGGGGTCTCGCTCTTGCTCACGCTGGTCTCGAACTCCTGAGCTCAAACGATCCGCCCGTCTCGGCCTTCCAGAGTGCTAGGATTACAGGCGTGAGCCACCACGCTCGGCCTGGTGAAGGCTTTCTTACCGCATCCTTACATGGCAGAAGTCAGAAGGGCAAGCAGAGACAAAAGTTGTGTCCTCTCTCAACAAAAGAATAGAAAAGGAGTGAACCAACTCCTGCAAGCCCTTTTTATAACACCATTAATCCATACATGAGGGTGGAGCCCTCATGACCTAAACACCTCCCGACACTGTTGTGTTGGGGATTAAGTTTCTAACACGTGAATTTTAGGAGACACATTTCGACCATAGCATTAATTCAATATCTTTGCTTGTTAGAGTCTGTTCAGATTATCTTGAGTCAGTTTGTTTCAGTAGTTTCGGTAGTTTGCAAATTTCTAGGAATTCGACCATTTCACTTATATTATCTAATTTGTTGGCATATAGTTGTTTATAGTATTCCTTTTTTATTCCTCTTATTTCTGTGAGGTCAGTAGTGATGTCTCCTCTTTCATTACTGATTTTTGTAATTTAAATCTGTTCATCATCTACTAATTGTTCTATCTGTTATTGAAAGTGGGATATTTGAAGTCTCCAATATTATTGAATTGTTTATTTCTCACTTCAATTCTGTCAGTTCTTGATTCATTTTATTTGAGAATTTTCATTTCTCTGGCAGGCATTTTACAATTCTGCCATTGCCTTCCCTTCCTGTCTGCACAGAGCCTCAAAGTTAGCCATGGGTTGTAGATTAGGGCCTTTCAGGTCTTCCCTGGGTATGTGCAAAGCCCCTCACATATCCTTTTAGAATTCTATGAATATGTTGGAGCTTGTCAATCAAAAAGAACCCAAACTCTGTAAAATAATTTATAGGGGTTTATTCTGAGCCAAGTATGTGTGACCATGGCCCAGAGAGCCATGCCCAAGAAGCCATGAGCAAGTGATCTTGCTGTGATTGGATTACAGTTTGGTTTTATACATTTCAGGGAGATAGGAATTACACGTAAAGTCATAAATCAATACTTGGAAGGCGTACATTAGTCTGGCCCGGAAAGGCAGGACATCTCGAATTGGGGGATTACAGGTTATAGGTGAGTTTAAAGATTCTTTGATTTGTAATTGGTTAAAGAAATGAAGCTTTGTCTAAAGGCTTGGAATGTTTTAAGTTAAGATAAGTAAGTCTGTTAATCAGAGACAAGCCACTGGACATATACTGGACATATACTGAGACTCAAGGAATCTGTTAAGTAAATTGATGACCTGCAGATATTATTTAACCTTTGTCTTCCATGGTCTTAGGCCTTTTAATGATTTTGTATCTTCTTGTTACAAAGAATAACTCCAAAACGGACAGGGTATAACTGGGCATGTCTGACCTCCCTTCTCAGGGCCAGCAACCCAGCTTTAAGATTTTTTTTTTTTTTTTTTTTGCTGGTGGTGGTGGGGGGTGTCCCCTTGACCAAGTCCATTCAGTTGGCTCAGGGAGGAGCAGTTAAAATTTTATTTTGGTTCACAAACTTTTCAAAACCCCCTGCCTATCTCCCATTCTCCACTTTTTCCTTTTAAGTTTTTGGTGAGCCTCTTATTAGTCCCCAACTTCCAACACTGTCTCAGGCATCTGGAATGTTAAACAGTAGCACTGATTGTTTCACAAATATGGTGCTGATGCAGGACAAAGAAAGGTAAGCCCTGAGAATGGAGCTTTTAAGTAAGCTGCCAGATAGGTCAAATAGTGATAATTCTCTGAGAATGGGGCTTTGTGGAGCTCCAAACCCATTCTGCCCCTTGCCCCTTGGGTGGCTGCTAAGTTGCTGGTTTTCACAGCTGTCAAAGTTGTGAGGCAACATTAGTTTTCACAGCTACAATGAAGCTGGGGAAAGGGTATGGCACTAGGTAAAGTTAAAACTGTCTAAAGCTTACCATTCTTGCTGAGATTCAGGCAGTTTTCTTGAATAAACGTTCCTCAGTTTATGGCAAATTTTTAGTTAATTTCAAGATTTCTGAAAAAGTTGATTTTGACAGTTTTCACCAGTGTTTTCATTGCTTTTTTGGAGGAGCAGATTTTTGGAGGTCCTTACTCTACTCTTTCAGAGGTCTGTCCCTCTGGATTTTGTTTTTGTTGGATTTGGTCTTTTTTTTCTCTCTATTCCTCAGCT